CATTTTTAGGTTCAGGGTTTTAAAGTTCAGCACTCCCACTAATTTGCGTTCTTTGGATAGCACCGGATAGCGGGTGTAATGGTATTTAAAATAAACTTGCTGAATTTCTGGAAAACTCATTTCGGTTGAAAGGAAAATTACTTTTTTGCGAGGTTTAAAATATTTTTCAATAGTCTCTTCATCAAAATTGAAGGCGGCCCGTAATAAGCGCACTTCTTGGGGTTCAAGTATATTTTCCGCTTCTAAATTACTCATTAAACGAATAAGGTCTTGTTCCCGGTAAGGAGAAAGTTTTTTTTCTTTGATTACTCAGCGCAAAGGTCAAGCCACTAGGCGGGTAATTGAATATGCCGAAGTTAGCAGAAAAGGATTAAGTATCCGCCGTTTATTGAATTCTCGTTCCGCTAAATAACGCACCAAAATTTCGGTTAGAAAAACCAACAAAAATATGGCAAATATTTCAGCAATTCATCCCCCTGCGCCATAGGGAAGTTCAACATATTTTACCAGGGCCCCGACAAAAATAAATCGTGAAATAAAAACATTAAAAATTACTGATATTATTGAGGTTCCTACAAAAAGAAAATAATTATTTTTAATTATATAAATGATTTTTTTGATTTTTTTCTTTTTGCGGCTAACCCGGGACAAATCAACTTTGGAAATATCAATTTCGGAATATAAGGAGGAAATGAAATTGAAAAATCCGGCTATAATTAGTAAGGACAAAGCTAAAATAATAAGAACAAAGGGTTCTAAATTTTCCATGAGATTTATTTAATATTTTTTATTTTTTCTTCCAAGTCGTTAATTCTTTTTAAATTTTGGTCTAAAAAGAAAGTTATCTGCGGTATCCGGGAAAATTTTTTTGATTTAGCCAAGGACCTTTTACTAAAGAATAAATAACTTTGGTTAATAACTTCCAGCAAATTTTGGTCTTCCGCGTGGGCAAAAACCAGATAAACTTTTAGATTTTCGGCTTTGGTACTCAACACACAATAACTCACGGAAAAAAACGGCAATTCCTCTTGCTGAATTAATTTTTGTAAAATAAGCGAAATCTCTCGGGCGTAGGAACTTTGTAAGCGGGCGTGGTGAAAATTGGGTTTAACTAACATCTTCTTCCTCCCACCGGTAACTAATAATTTGGTCTTTTACTTGGAAATCGTCAAAGTTTGCCGCTACTATTCCGCATTCTTGCCCTTTTCTTACTTCGTTAACTTTAAATTTTTCGCTTTCTAAACTTTTAATTTTTCCGGAGAAAATTTTTCGTCCCTGGCGTAAAACATGAATTAAATTATTGCGTTCAATGGTGCCATTAATTACCTGGCAGCCGGCAATATTACCTAGTTTAGAAAAATAAAATACTTGCTTGACTTCCGCGGTACCCAAAACTTTTTCTACTTGATTTGTTTCGCGAGTTTGCTGAATTAATTCGGTAAGTTTTTCTTCTATTTCATAGATAATTTCACTTTGGAACCATTTAAGTTGGTTTTCTTTAAGTTTTTGGCGAATTGTTTGGTTCAATTTTAAATTGTAAATAAGTAAATAACTACGAGTAATTTTCGCTAGGTTAAGCAATTGGTCGTGAAGATTGCCTACCGAATGGGCTATAATTGGCAAGGCTGAACCATCCGTATTTTTAGTTTTAGTTACTAAATCAACCAGGACTTCCAAAGCGGCTTGGGTATCGGCGGCCACTATTAAGTTAAGAGGTTTTTGCTTTTCAGTTTCTGAATCTAATAAAGTACTTGGCGGGGCCGATGAGCCTGAACCAATCGGGTCCCTTTCTTTTTGATAATCAGCTAGTAGTTCGTTAATCTTTTTACTCCATTTATCTTCCCGAACGGTTAAAAATTTTTCTCCGGCTTGGGCGAGAAAATCCAAACCAATCACTTGCGCCAGGTCGCTAGGAAGAGCTTGGTTAATTCCTTTCCCTTGAAAATCAAGCATCCTTTTGATTTTGCCTAACTTTCCCTTAGTGAAGAGCAAATCTTTTTCCCGCAAAGTACCCCCTTGAACCAAAAGAGTAGTTACTTTTCCTAGTTGCGAACTTATTTTGCTATCAATAATTAAACCGTAAGCCGGTAATTGCGGATTAGCCTTTCAAGGGTTAGTTTCATTCAGCAAAAGAATAATTTCGCAAATTTGGTCGGTATCTTTTTTTTCCCGAGCACTACCGGAAATTAATTCCACCGGAGTTAAATCTTGTTCTTGTAGTTGAGACCTTAATTTGGCTAAATTGGCCTCGTTATTCGTTTTAGCAGGTTTTTTATGGTTAAAAAAAACAATTACCGGTAACTGGTATTGGTGAAGATAATTAATGATTTCCTTGGTTTGGGGCATTATACCATCCCGAGCATCAATTACTAATATTACTAGGTCGGTTAAAGAAACTCCACGTTGCCGCATTTTAATAAAGTCGCTGTGTCCGGGGGTATCACAAAAAATTATTTTCTGCCCGGAGAAAATTATTGGGTAAATGCTAATTTTTTGGGTAATCCCCCCTTTTTCTTCTTTTTGAACTTGACTGCCTCGGATAGTATCTAAAAGGGTAGTTTTGCCATGGTCAATATGCCCCATCACGCTTACAATAGGAGGACGAGGAACTAAATTTTCTTTTTGGTCGATTTGGCGTAAATACTCTTCAATAAGGGCGTTAAAGGAAATTGGTTCTTTTGGTTGAATGCTCTTTATTCCGTGGCTTTGACAATAAGAATTAATTAATTCGGCCGAAAGGTTTTGGTTTTGGTTGACCGCTATCCCTTGATTCCAAAAAAATTTAATAACTTGTCCGAGAGGAACTTGAAAAATTTCGCTTAAATCAGCAACTTTTAATTGCCCAGCGTAAAAAAAAGTTTGGTTTTTTATGGTAGGTGGGAATTTATTGAATAACTTCTCTTGCAACAATTCTAGTAATAATTGATTATTGCTTGGGGCCATATAATTTATGGTCGAACTTAGTATTTGCTCAGTTTTCTTTCGATTTATTTGTGGTTTCCATAATTATCGCGTTCTCGTTATCCATTTCCTCCCAAGTTCGAATTTGCAGTTTAATTTTTAAATAATCTTCAATCAACGGAACTATTTTTCCTTTAACTAAACTGTTTTTTTTTTCGGGATGGACAATGACTACCAGATCACTTTTTTTTGGTAATTTGCAAAAACCGAGTACTTCTACGGGAGAAAAAAGTTTAACTAATTGCTCTTTTTTATCCTCTT